GGGAATCACTCCTTTGTAATTAATGCCTTAATGGTAGAAGACTATGTAAAATCTTAATGGATTCTTTTCAATCTAGACATAATTCCACTTATAGCATACTATTAAATGCATTAGGTTATATGTAGAGTCCTTAAACTTTTAATTTTAAATAATTTAGTCTTTTAATTATTTTTTTATACTTTTTTGGTCTCTCAACTATGAAAATATTCTTTATTTTTTCTTTAGACAATTTTATTTGTTAAGTCTATATAGTTGCCATTTTTTTGCCTAAACTTTTGTTTTATGCATTTTTAGGTTATTAGAAGGAATTATAAAAAAGCCAGCTGGACAGATTTGAGAGAAATAACTGATGGAAGAACAACAAAGTCCATTTTTTATAGTTGAGGGGGAAAGAAAGTATAAAAAATAGTTTAGAACTAAAACTATACCAAATTAAAAATTTAGGGACTCAAATTTAACATTTAACCAATGCATTATGTTAACTTTGTTTTAGTATCGTTATGATTTTTTTTTTTTTTTTTTTTTTAACTTTAGAAAGTGTCAAAACAAAAAGAGAGAAAATATTCATCTTTGTTATAAGGGATTTAAAATTTATATAAGACTTTTAAATGTATTTGTTGATTCCTACTTTATATCTTAATTATATATAAAATTGATACAACAACAATCTTAACTAGATATATAAAACTGCTATAATAACAAAATTATCTTTAAAATCCTCAAATAAATATCAATTGAATTTCAGAAAAATACTCAACAAATATCCAATGGGCTTTGAGAATTTTTCATTAAATACTTGATGGGCTTTAAAAAATCTAATATAAATTTACCATATATTAAATATTACTCGTATAATCCAACCTTAATAAAATTTGATTTCTTATTAGTTTTATTCACACTTTGTTATTATAGGATTTGATTTGACCTTCCTTTAATATATTTTCAATTATATAGTATTACACTTACAATTATATATATTGACGTGCCAAAATCATTTAGCCTCAATTAAAATTGGGTCATGAGTCATGACAATATAAATGGACAAATAAAAGATAAAAACAAGAGTTGCCGGACACATAATTACATTCTGAAATTTTGGTTCTTTATTTCTTTTCCTAATGGTAAAATTATAG